AAACTTTTCTTAAAAACTTACTTTTCTTAGAAAACAACGAACTATTTTTTGCTAACATTCTTCCTCTATAAGGATAAAAAGCTCTGATTTCAGGAACTTAATTGAGAAGTATTAAACAACCCGAATTTTATGTGTATCATTATCATTTCTGTTTATGATGGTAGAGAGCCTGTACAAAGTGAAAAAATACAAATTAAAAAAAAAAATAGTCACATTTGTGTAAGCAGTGAATGATTAACACAGTTGTTTCTGTGGTATTAAGGAAAAGAATGCCTAGTTTTAAATTTTCATTCTTAAACCTCTGAGAGCTTCTGCACGAGTTCCTCAAGCTCGATCTTGCTCTGCTTCCTGGCAGACACCGTCATTTTTTCAGTACATTTTTTCCTGCTGTTAGCTGTGCTGCAGGGCACCATCTCCGAGGTCATTATCAAAGGGTTTCTTTGTCAGCCTGGCAAGCTGTCTCCTCCCGTCTCCACAAAGCCAAGGGCTAGGCCGGTCCCACCGAAATCCACAGAGGTCCCGTGCCAGAGCCGCAGTCAGACATTATGCTGATTTTACAGACTCGAGTGGACCTGCGCCAGTTTACCTTATCTGATGATCTGGCTCCATGAGAACAAGTCCCTCATGACTCACGTCCACCTCATACCTGCTGTGCAGAGGAAGAAGTTGTTTTTCAAGCTGGGCCCCGCAAATCCCAGCAAATAATGTCGCGTTTCGCGTAGAGCTTCTTTCTTCTAGGAGGCGCTGAATAAAGCAAGTGTTCAACGGAGACACTGGGGTTGACCAATGGCCGGTGTCACACAGTGTCGTGGGGCAAGGTGGCAGGGTGAGTCAGGACATGCAGTCCGCAGGCACCCTCTATAGGCTCTGCCACGGGAGAGCACTCGGCAGCACGCTGGGCAGAAAGCAGCTTGAGTCACCCTGAAAATTAAGCAGGGACAAAAACCTAGGCTTCAAACCCGAACAGATTTACAGAGTTATTTTAGTACAAATAACTTGCATGAAAAATATATAATTTGGTATCAAAATCAGGGGAAAAAAAGGGTGCCTCTTTTCACCAAAGTGCTTTCATTCAGATGGATGTTTTATTTTGCTTTGTACATGCAAACCAGCATCTTGGAGTGCTAATATAACACTTAATATAAAATTTGAAAACACTGAAAAAAACAACCTTGAAATCTATTGTCACTAACTACGATTGCCTAGTAAATACACAGGTGTTAACAAAGCCTCTATATATAAACTAATATAAGAATGTAAATTCTAGATTACTGGCAAGAAAATGGATGCAGCTTTTCAGCTTTGCAAAGCCCTTGTGTGAATGAAAACACTGTGAATAATAATAAAGTGAAACAGGTACCTAAGCGGTAGTAGAATAAAACTCTGGGGTGTTATTAAGCAGCATAACTGAGGATTATTTTAAAGATTATTTTCAAAATTAGGTCTCCATTAATAAATTATCATGCCATTGTGTCTGCCTCCACAGCTGATTTTGTCTTCCAAAATGTATTTAATAGGCTCATGCCAAGTTGTGGCAATTTAGAACTTGCAGGTCATTCCCTTGCTCTGCGAGTGTGGTTCCACAGCTCAAGTACAAATCTCTAATGCCATGTTTAAATCTGTCTTGTGAAGCCCTGAATGGGCTTTGTGTAAATTAACCTTGGTACCTGCAATGCAGTTTGCACTGAAGGCAGGCAGGCATGGGGACCTACCCGAAGGGGTAAATTGTTGGATATTGGATTAGAGGCTTCTTTCAAGCTTTTGTAAAAGATCTGGAAAAGACTCCTCTGTACTCTGGTTGACTAATACTTTCCATTATAAAGAACTCTTTCTTTGGGAAGCATTAACACCTCTGTTGTTTGTTGCAGGCCTTTGATATTTAGCAGGGGAAATCCCAGAGGCTATAGTGGTACCTATTCTTTGCCCAGAGAAACGTGAGTCAGTTTTCCCCGTAAAGTATTAAAAATGCTGGGTCTCTGATTCATGCACAAAGGCAGATTAAAATCAGGCTGCCACCCACAGCTGTCTGGCCTGCCCCCACTGCTCAGATGGCTCAGCTGCTCTTGAAACATCAGCTGAATTGCCACAAATTACAGCCAGGCGTATTTAATAATACTAAAACCTGTGCACAAGGATCTCGGCTGCCTGCAAAGCAGGAACTTTCAAGGCAGTAACAAGGTGGATAGCTATGGAAGCAGATTTTTACAGCTGTCACTTTTAATCTACCTATATTTGTGACAGGACTCTTAAATTCCTTTTCTTCCTCTAGCCAAGATTGCTAAACATCGTAGACAGCCTGGTCTAGGTTGTTAGGCTGAAGCAGCAGCGAGCACTGCTGCCTGAGCGCCAGCGCACAGAGGCATCATGTAGGGCTCCCTCCCACAAGCCTGCTCCCCTGCATAATCTAACTAACAAAATGGCACAGAGCCTTCAGCTGGCCCACTCTCCCCACACTCTTTGTGACAGCAAATGGAGGAAGCAGAAGGAACAGTTCACATAAGAGTGTAATGGATCCTGTGCACCTCCTCACCTGCTACCATCCTTCATGAGGGCCCTGGGCAGGGAACTGTGCTCCTCCAGCTGCCGGGACGAGGGGGAAGGAGTCCTTCCTTCCCCTAGGCCTGCACACAGGCCTAGTGTGGCCTCGACGTCCTCACATGCAACAGCGATCAGCAGTTAGATGGTGAGGGGACAGTTTTCTACAGAAGATGCACAGTGTAAATCCTCCCAAATAGAAGTGCCCCAGAATCCCTGGGGTTACGTGGCAAATTCACTTCAATGTCAGCCAGCCTGGTTTTGTTCAGACTATTCCCAGTCTGATACTCTATTCTGGTTGGCCAGGGACTCACCTGTGTGCAGGCTGATGGCTTGTCCTGGGCTCTCTGTATCAGTTTGTCTACATAAAGAAATGAACGTTCAGTAGGCAGTGGTGATACAACACCGTGCTCTGTATGCTCTGAAAGTGGCTTTCAAAGTGGCACAGCAGACCCTTCTCAAAGAATGATACTTCTGGGTCCTCAAGGGATGCCAGCTTGGAGTAGCTAATACAGGGTAAATTAGTCTTCTAGCTGACTGCATACTACATTATCCTGGGTGTAAGTCTTACATTAGTCGGAATTCTTGCTTTAAAAAATGTTTCAAACATTATAATTCACTTTTACTGTGATGAAAGATGCCTGTTTTTTGTCTCTGCCCTTTATACCAGAATCTAATCAATGGCTTTGCCAAGCACTTTTCCTAACAGGTCAGAATCACTGTAGCTATGTGGAATTATTTATGAAAATACAGTTAGGGACATTTAGCTATGCTGCCAATATCATTCATTTACCTTCTTGTCATTATACCTGCAGCACCCAACACATGACTATAAAATTTCCATCATACAAATAGTATATAAATCCTAAAGTCAGCTCTGTGAACATATTTTTTAGTTAGATATAACCTTCTTTTTTATTTAAATTATTCATTTAACAATACATTGTAGCTTAAAGGTCCATTATAATAAAATCTCTCTATTAACTATTGAAATAATTTAAAAGTCACTAAGTAAAGCTAAGAAACCTGCCAAAATTTTAATTCTTTTTTATATACATCTCACAAGCTGTTATCTGATTACTAATAAATAACACAGTGAGCTAATAAAAAAAATGGGATGGTTTACCTACCAATTCAAACTGTTTGTCTCATGCATTGGCTCAACACTTACCCTATGGGCTCTATTTTAAAAATAAATAAATAAATACACACACACACACACACACACACACGCTATATGAATATACAGAATATAAGTTTCTTCTCCAAAAGGCTGCAAGTGAATTATTGTAAGTGCATAATTTTGTGTGTATCTTGGATATATTCTCTAAACACATTAGAATAATTTAACATGAAAGTTGAGAAAACACAGAATTATGTACAAGACCCAACAAGGAAAAAAGTGAAGACTTTAAAGCATATTTTGTTTAGAAAAACAAACCTCTTCTGAAGAGTATACTTTTCACAGGGAAGATCCACAAAAAGGCTGGTTTTCTAGAAGCTATCTGAATTCCCAAGCCCAGTTCCTTTTCTACTAGTTTTTCCTTCACATTCATTGGTGTTGCTTCATCCTCTTTGGTGGATGTACAATAGTTTTCAAAGGGCTGTACAGCAGTTTGAAGTTCAGAATACACAGGCTCTGGCATAGAAGTCTCTCTTTCTACCAGAACATTTTCTCCAGCAGCTTGTGACCATGGCTGAAGCTGTGTGAAAAGTACTTCTACTGTTGGAGTGTCTCTTTCCCAAGAGTCCCCTCCTTCTCTTCCAAAACTATTTTGACTTGGTGAAGACTTATTTGTTACCATCTTGTTATTAAGAGCCTGACCTAAACCCGTGACAGCATTACATACTCTAAATTCAAATTCATATGACCCTCATCATCTTCTTTAAGGGAACAAAATTGAAAATACTAAAAATACAAGTTACAAACATAACATGTACAGCAGCAAATAAGAATAACACCTAATTAGATTGCCAAAACTGAGAATGTCAGCAATTAAAAGATGAACTAGATTGCTATTTATTAGGTGGCACTCAAACAAAATAACTCTATACAAAGGAACACCTGAAAGAGGGTTCCAGTAAGCAGTTTTTAACCAATATAGATCGCATAACAGAAAATAAGAAATACCTATTTATAATTACATTTTATTTGCTGGATTTTCTTGTCCCAATATGGAGAGTATGGCTTGTTTATACTATAGAAACTGTTGAGATATTTATGTACTCTCTGATGGATACAACTTGCGGGGTCAAAAAATTTCTTTCAACAATCTGGATTACAAGAATTTCACAGTGGTAAAAGCTATAAAAGCAAAAATACCCTTTTTTTTTCCTTGGTTTAGCCATCTTTATACTAGGTTTTCCATCATGATAGTGGAATCTAAGTAGTAAATTTTTTCATACTCAGAATGTTTAAAATGGAACCAAACTTAGCATTTAACTAAATATCTGGATCTCTTAAACAAAACATCTTTTTTAAAAAAATTATGATCTGAACAAGAATCAACTGGCAACATACCTGAAATGAGAATGACTGCTGAGTTTATGAGCTTTTCGAAGATGTAGGGTCAATATATAACTCCAGGAGAAACCTTTCTGACAGATGTGGCATTTACATTTCAGAGTGCCATTACTCTTGGAAAGAAAGAATGTTAAGAGTCATTGAAGGCTTGCACATATATATGACAAAAACTAATCCTTTGTTGAAAAGGGGAAAACCACACTAACTAGCTGAATACCTTTTTGAAGTTAACTTCCTAAAACATGTACAATTTGTGGGTTTTAGAACTTGTCTGATGAAGGAACCCCAGTGAACATGGAAATTCTGTGTTGGCCATCAGTACTGCAGGCATCTCCAACAGCAGTGTGACACATATATTCCGCTAAAATATATTTCTTTTACAACATAGCAGTGATCATAACTCAGAAAGTTGAGGAAACAGGCAACAAGTGTGCATAAACTGTAGCAGCCAAAACTGTAGTTTAATCTTGTGGCCGGACTCACCTGATTAAGAGTGATGTAGGCTTTACACACTTTATAGTTTCTCTGTTTTCAGGTAACATATTAGTACTAAGAATGAGCAGAAAGTTGACACTGTTTTTAATCCCTGAAATATTTTGCTGTTGAGATTAGGATTGGTGTGTTTTGTTTTGTTTTTTTAAAAAAAGGGGGAAGGTTGGCCAGAGTTCAAGACTGTCAGTGCGCAACTGCATGCACTTGAGGTAAGCACACAATCTATAGGTAAGGATGAGTTAGGTATTTGCATAATACTGTTAAGAGTCCTAGAAATGCGTGCAAATAAATAGTGGATTTGGTGCAAAAATAAAGTATTTCATTAATTCACAAGAAACTAAATGCATGTCAATTTGAAACTTTAGTCTCATTTATAGCAATACATTTTATTCTGCTATTTAATATACTCACTACATGTGCTCTCTTGTAATGCTGTCTCAAAGTTTGTAAAGTCCATGAAGTAAAACCACATCCTTCAACATCACAGCTGTAGGCATCTGAATCATTGTGTGTTTCAACATGTTTATGCAGATCATACGCGTTCTTAAAACTGAAAACAAGGTAAAACAAATAACAGATATATAGTACAGAGGAGTAGTCTTGTGGTTAAATGTTTAGGACTGGGAGGTAGTAATTTTTGGCTCTGAGAATGACAAGTGAAAGTGGAATATGTGTAAATCGCTGCTCTACCTCATTTTTTCCACCTGCGAAAAGGGGATAGTACAGACATCTCTTTGATGTGCTCTGGATTTCATTTTCCATTCCATCTTTCTTCCCACACATCCACACCATGCCCAAATCTAGGTAATTTTTCCGCAACTGTCTTGCAAGGCATCACCTTCACTTTCTGTTCACGTAGGTAAAATTCTTGCCCATTATCAATCAGTCACTTCATCCTCTCTGGTCTAGAAATTTGGATTATTTCCTCTGTTCACCCACAGTGTAAACACAGAACTACTTAAATATTTGTTTGCTTTATCACACTTCCATCATATAAAGGCTGGACATCTCCCCGTCTCTGGCAAAGTTAAACAGAATTTGCCAGTGCTTATATATGCAACTTGTTTTTTTTTTTTTTTTTTTTTTTTTTTTTTTAAAATTTCACTGCTGTGTGGCATCATATGGTGAAAGCAGAAAAGAAACCACCACAAAAAAGTAAGCACACAAATCTGCAGAAGGTATAGTAAGCCTGTGGCAGAAAAATCACTCAAAGGAGAAGGCTCTTGACTCTCCCAAACAGCCAGCAATCATTTAGAATGGCAAAATCCACAGTTTAAGGCACTAGTGCCACACACTTCAAGTTGTCATGATGACCATTTTGCAGTACACAGTCTTGCCAAGAAAATGCACCTTTTAACACATCAGTTCTACTTGCACCAGAAGTTCATGAACTATTGTGTCTCAGCAGCTGAAGGCAGCTGAACAGGAGATGAATCTATTAAGATTTCTTCATCAAACAGTTGATTATTTTTGTGGTTGGAAACCTTTCTTTACTAACTCCTATGTAAAACACCTACTTGGTTCTACAGTTCTGGTCACATAGCTACGAGCCTCAAATTTTTTTACCCCTTGTCACAGAGGTGACAATGGAAAGGACGTTCATTACAGTGTCGGAATCTGATATGCGATTTCAGTGAGGAGACACTTGTGCATACCATAGCATGCAACACGATTAACTAGAAAAGATAGTAGAAAGAAACTTTCAGTTCAGTATCAGAGATGCACCGGGACATTGTCTGCTATGACGTATAACAAAAAATGTATTAAAATATCATCTTAAAATTAACAGATTAACAGATACAAAAAAAAAGAGATAAAAGTGCAATGCAGATACAATAAAGAGAGTAGTAAAATAGCAGTCAATCTTACACTGTTTCAAGTTACTTTCAAAAAACAGATGGTAAGGGAAAAAGATGTAGAGGATCATGTTTCACTCTCCAGGCTCTAACAAAAAGGATGATTATCATCTTGCTCTTGGCACTCTGGGAGGGTTTCTAAAAAGTGGATGTTGTCTGGAGGCCTTCTAACAGACAAGCGCTGGCAGATCTACTTTTAGTATTTAAGGTATTACTACTCTTAAGGGTGGCAGAAAGAATATGTGTCTGTCCTCCACCTCCCCATTTCACGTTCAGATATATTTGCTTAAGGCACAATAATGCTGGGTGCTTGCTAAACTGCCAGACTGTGAACTGCAATGGCCAAGACACAGGTTTGCTCTGACAACCCTGGAACTGGGGAGAACCTTTGACAGATTGGCAGGCAGGTCTGTAACATCTTAAACTGAACAAATACTTCCTTTGCTGCGATGAATCAGCAACCTGATGAATGCAGAAGGAAGAATCTCAATAAAGAAGTTCTGGATTCAGACCAAATCTGTTATATTTAGGACTTTGAAACAACGCATTATCTTATAATCAGCCTAGTGCTTTGCAGGTGGGCAAACAAAAACATGCAGTTGAAGTGCTCACATTTTCTCAAAAAAGGCAGTAAATATAATGCACTGTAACTATTCTGGAATTACTCTCTGCATAGGCACTTTTCTTCATGGTTTGTCTTAAACCAGGAAAAAAAATAGCTTAATGTGAAAAAGCTGGAATAACTTAATCTGCAAAACTGCATCAGTGAAGTTCAGCAGTCTCTTGAAATGGGAGTATCCAACAGTTTGCTTACTTGTCTGGCATGTAAGTATGTCCATGTAGGGAGTGATTTCAGAATACCTACAGCATTTGCATTCACATCACAGATTATTTCAGAAAGATTTCTTACAGATAGGCAAGTTCTTTAAAAGAAAATTTCAATATTTATCTATATTAACAGGTATTATGAAATACGCTGGGGTAAGATTCTGAAAATGACATGTCTGCACTGGCAGCCTGTGCTAACATGCAGATGCAAGAATTTTTAAAGAAAGCTGAATCATGAACTGGGGAAGTAACTGGCTCTATTATCTGAGGAGATTTTGGTTGCACCTAAACAGTTGGACCCAGGAACGCCTCCCAGCTTCCTCAGCCAAGTTCACATTGCAGCTGGTTCACTATGGCTTACTGGGACACGACACGGGTTCGCATCATCCTGGTTCCTAGGTCCAGCCACCTTGTGATTTTCCCTGGCTGTGCAAGCAGAATATGGTCTGAATTATCGGGGACAAGGACAGCCAGGCACACTGTGCACTTCACAAAGGTTTAAGTGCAACCAGAGTGACCAGAAACAAGTAGTTCAGTTAGCTATGGGCTTTATTTAATATATTAAATCTATCTTAATGTGTGTTATGCTTTAATTTAAAAAAAAATAACAGCATATTTAAACTGCTTCATTAGCTAATGAAAGCAAAACAAAGAATCTTAATTTGTATTTATTTCCAATTGCTATCCAAAATCACCTTGAGACAAATGAATAAAACTAATCTAGTAAACAAGACAAAAATAATCCTCTATTTTCTAATATAAAATATAAAAATTAAGATATTTTAGTCAGGTACGTGTCAACTATAAAACCATTTAAATATGAACATGATCAGTCCTGGTAGCTTGCAGTAAGCACCAAATCAAATACCAGTTGTTAAGCATCAATGCGTTGACTTGCAGACAGTGAGAAATCATGTTTCCTTAAGAATGCAACTAGAAAGTAGAATCTACCCTGACTGAGCAGGTCTGCACGAAGCTGCTTGTATGTTTATACAACCTAAATGACTGGTACCCAGGTTTGGCGACATGGTTCAAATATTCCTGTTCTCAAAGCAAAGACCCACCCTCCTCTTGGCGTCTGCATTTCCTGTATGTCCAACAGCAATATCACGTTTCCTTGAGCTTAGATGCTGTAGGATTCTTTCCCAGCAAGTCATAGCTGCTGTAGTATAACTTGTGGGAATAATTTGGGGACCTCGGGGACATTGTGGTTAGGTCAGCGAAGGACTACACTGTTTAAGTGAGGTTGATTATGCACTGCAAGGTGAGCAGAGTTGCAGGCCAAACTAAAACATAGCTTTGGCTTTAACCATGCCCCTACTCATGAAAACGAATAAACAGAGATGCAAGTGAAGAATAAGCATCTGCACAGGAGCTGCTGCAAAACAGAAAATCCCCTTAACCTTGTTGATCAGAAGGCATAAAGGAAGGAATTTCCATGCTTCAGAGGGACGGGCAATGAAAGTCTTACTTTCCAGCATTTGTAACACAGTTGCACTAGTTTCATGTGTTAATTTTCTTAGCTGACATAACAATACTTGTAACTCTGTACTTTATCAAACCTGTTCTATACAAGATGACCTTGAGAAAAGTATGTTTTATTTTTAAAAACTCTGACTTACCACGTCCCCTCATGTGATCTCGTAGCAGCCTTTCATTAGCAAAATGTTTCTGACAGTTCTGGCAAACAAATATTTGTTCTGAAGTTAAATAGAAACTATTTAGTGGCAATACAAATAACTTATGAAAGATTAATTAATAACCTATAGCTGCCAGTTTCATGAATAAACGGACACAGCACTGAGACAGTTTCAATATTCTTTTTCATTACCAATACTTTTCAGAAGAAAATTTAGTTTAGGCTTAATGAAAAGGATAGTTTTTCAGAAAGTTCATTTCATCCTAAACAGAGTAACAATCTGTTCAAAACACTAACAGTTTGAAATTGGACCTCTTCTGTCAATTACCTAGAATGCACCTACTTTCCATCAGCAAAACATCCACAATTCCAACATATATTCCAAGCACTTAAAAACATTAAAAACCACCACATCTCCCTTCCTCTTCAGCATGCAGGAAAGCATGCCAACTAATACACAGTTGGTGGAGGCAGGGAATGTTCTGGTGAAGAAAATACTGGAAAAGCAAAGCTTAAAGAGAAAAAAATTGCCTTTTGACCTGAAAGTAGTTAAATGCTTATTGGGATTACTTGCAGAGATTTTGTAATCCAAGCCTGGCTCTTGTGGAGGTTCTCTCTTCAATAATGAAAAGTCTTTCTTATTCATGGGCAGTTTTCCAATGTCAGTGGAATGCCATGCTGTGCCATGGGCACAAAGGGAAGAGAGGCAATGCAATGTCACAGCTGCCAGGTGAGTATCTTTACTGGTGAAACATGATCTAAGGGTGTTCTCTTGCTCACTTTCATTACCCTTATTCATCAGACATGCAAAGTCAGGAGAACTTCTATGCTTTTTGAAAACAGTTGCCTTCCTGGAGTAAACCCTGCTTTCATGCAATTGATTTATATGAAAAAAAAAAATAATTGAAATTACACATGCACATTATCACAAAGCACCTTAAAAGAAAATCTCTTACAAATACAAACAGAATATATCCACTTACTATCTTCTGAAACTTGTCTGTTTGCATGATTGAAAAACTTGGTGTTGTTGGAGAACATTCCTCCACAAGTAGGACATGCTACAACTCTTTCTTGTGTGTGGGTTCTTAAATGATCCCATATCTTATGCTTTCCTTTAAATATGCTGAAACAATCTAAACCAAACAAACAGAAAAAAAGCTGCACATGAGTACTGTACTCTATGTAGAAACAGAAAAAGCTATTACATACTATGTCTTACTGTTGTATTTTTAGAAACACACACAAAAGTTTATTCTAGGAAAAAAAAGATCAGAATAGGACTATTACAAACATCATGTGAGATTTAACCCTACGAATATCCAATATCCGGCCAAAGCCAGATTATCTATCAGTAATCAGAATTCTTCAAGATGTATTGGCCATGTGTGTCTCTTACACAAATTTCAGTTCTGAATCAGCAGAGAGCATGCTGCTATAATTTCCACCCTCATGTGTCAAAGTTTTTGGCTTCACATGTATAGTCATACAGTGGAATAGAGATAATACTGATTACTATTTCTGTTGCTCAACCCCATCACAGAACTCCAGCAATCTTCATGGTCTCTGGAGAACAAGATGGGGGGTAGTGAAGACATGTCAACTGTACATCTCCAAGAACTCCACTTACTGACATCTTTTTGGATTTTTTATCCTCACATTTTCTATCCTAAGCACTATGTGAATGCGTATGTAAACTGCAAGCAATCACCTATCCACCAAACAATCCTTGAACATAAAGAGCTGTGTCCTTAGATCTGTTGATCTCAGAAACAGTCTGGTACTGTGGACACAGTGCAAGTTTTAACAGCACAAGTAGAAAGCTCTAGCTATTGACATGTAACAAGTAAGGGGAAAATCCCTAGTAGGTTAATGTATTGGTGTAAATGGAGCTAAAGAACTACTTTCAGGAAAAAACTTCAGACAGATGTGAAGGAATAGCCTACCCTCTCACATTAGGAGAAACAGCCACAAGTCTCCTCATCTACCTAACAAAGGTAACAGCTATTCAGGTAGCTTTCCCTTTTTAGAAAGGTGAAATAATAGCCTGGACCCAATCAAAGACTTAAAAATCAAGAGGACTAAAAACAAGAGCAAGAGGTAGGGAAAGATAAAATATTCTTTTGTGGATGACACATGATAAGAGTAATCAAGTGACTCAAACTCAGCAACAGGTTGGATACCTTTAGGTCTCAGAAATGAATACATAAAATTAATTTAAGAAAAATGATTTGCCTAGTTCATTTGACCAAGTAGATGCATTGTGAGTTCCATTTCTACCATTCATGGGGACATTCTCTCAAGTAGAACAAGAATGTAATAGCCTTGATAACAACCCA